CATGGTTAAGATTTCGTTGGTTCAGACGTTAACACCGTGAGATTCAAGTTTGGGAGATAAGGATCTAGTGGGAGCCAGGATTTTTACTTGGCTGGAGACGTGGCAGCTGATTACACGTGCCGACAGATTCCTCATGGAATGTAGTGGAGCTCTGTCTTAACCCACTAAAATTTGTAGTTAATATATAGAATTTGAACCCAAGTCTAAAATATAATTAACTACTCTAATCACGTTATATCTATTCATTCATATAGATATACAACTAGTTTATGTTATGTTTGTTTTAAATTATATATTAATTAATATAATTATACTGAAATATCTATAATATTCTAACCATTTCCATCAACTCTAAATAGAAGTCAAGATTTATTGGATAAAATCATATTTGGGACAACTCATCCCTGTGATCTCATAAGAAACATTAAGATAAGAAGAAAATGTTAAGAAACTATTAAAATAAAAATGGTCAGTACCCATTTTGTGCTTTAAGGCTTCTTCATGATTTAACTCCTTTTTTTTTTTAGTGGAAAAGACATGAATAATATTAGCAATGAGTATCTACAATGTCAAGAATATAACAAGAAGAAAAATTAGACATTGAGGCTCGAGCTTCGTTGATCATTTTTTAATGATGCAGTCAAGTTATAATATGTTAGAGAGAAAAGAATTAACAGTTGATAAAAAATCACTTGTTACTGTGATTCTAGAAAATCCTAATAGTTTCGTTATATCGAAAAAGAAGAGAATAATTTCACTTTCTGAGACTATGCAATTGCGGAAAAGATTTCCTTCGAATATTTGATAGTTCAATGATAATTATTTTACCCAAACTAATTAAAATCATTTTTTTTGAACTGTTTTTTAAATGAAGAAAACTAATATTTAAAGCAAATTGGAAATTTCATGAATCATATATTGTAACGAGTAAAATATAGAGAATTAAGTTATAAAAAATTATCAAATTTGAAGGTAAATTTGATAATTTGTCATAGAAACATAAAATAAAAACTAAAAGTAGCAAATTGTGTGTTCTAATCAAATGGGGGTTGCTGAGTATAACCAGTAACCCTCACATGCTTGTGTCCCCTGCAGACAGCACTACTTGCTGTGCAGCAAAAGCAGAGCTGTAAAAAGACATTCTCAGTCACAACTCCACCAATCAACCATCATTTATGCCACTTAATAATGAATTTTTTTTATTTACAATCTATTGAACAAATTTTCAGCTTCTATAAAATACTTTCTTTGAAAAAAATATATATATATACTAATCATATTGAGAAACCAACTTCAGAAACAGAGCATCACAAAGTATTTTCAACTGCAACCATGTTGCCCCAAGTCATGACTCAGAGGTTTTAAATGTTTAAGTTAATTATGTATATGTTTAATTTTTTAAATATACAAACTCGGTCATCCAAATCTTCACCCAGATAAATCCTTCCCTGTCATTTATCAGTTAATGAAACCAGAAGAGAGAATTGTATCATTGATCCTGGTTTGGTCAACTGCAGGTGGTTAGAATTTAAGGCTATGGCCTTGACAAGCTCTCAGTTTTCAGCACAATCAATTGGAAATACAGAAGGAAACCCCAAGTGGTAAAATTTCAACTTTATTGAATTTCAATGGAAAAAGGATACATATTGATGTAGCTATTCAACAATATATGCTGCTGGGATAATGAAACAACAAAATGATTGCCGCACCCAATGACTTTTTGTGGCAACCAAAACTCTATTTATTTGCAATTATATATACTATATATACAACAAAAAATGAATTAAAATAGAAATCTTGGAAAAAGTAGTAAGAAAAAAATTTGTAAGTAGTGCTCTCTGTGGAACAGGATTACAACACTCACACACCTCTTCCAGCCCCAAAATCTCAGTGGGGAGGATAAAGAATTATATATCTCTTGAAAATAACCTGTTTTGGAGTGTTTTAATTTGAATCCAAGTCCTTGCCACCAGTAACAACTTTCCGGTGCCGCCTAGAACTGGACCTTCTATCTCTCCCACGCTTCGATGGGACCTTCCTAGCAGGAGTACTTACAACTGTCTCGTTTGAAATTTCAAGTGAAAATTTCCTAGGCAACTCACCGATCAAAGGCGGAGGTGGTGGGGGCTGTCTCTTTGCCAACATCTCTAATTCTGCCAGATGATGTTTCTACAAGCAGCAGCAAGAAAATATTTATAGGTTGCCTTAAAAGAATTAGAGTGTACTTCAAGTTGAAACCTTCCCTCAGATGTTTACCCAAAATTTTCTGAATGTTTAATCCCTTCTTGAAAAAGAAAACTATAATGATGAGATTCAGATGCTCCTTGACAAAGTTTGAAATCCAAAAGGTAAACCTTATTTGCAATTTTAAGAGTAAAAACAACCCACTAAAGGAAACCGGAAATTTTGGATAATTTTTGCAATACCTAGTTTTAGAAGCTACATTATTCAAATTATCAAGAGTCCACAAGATAATCACCTGAACAACAAAGTTGCGCCTTTCACAGTCCAAGAACATATAGGGCATCCAGTCTGTCTTTGCCCTAATCTTGTCCCTCACCGTTGAAAAACTAATTTGGTCTCTAGACGTAAAGCGATCAACCTCATTGTACCAAAGACAAGTAAATAGGTTGCTAATTGGGACATGCTCCCTTATAATGACACACCCTTCCGGTACATCTGCAGACAAACCATCATAGGGAAATTTCACGAAAGGTGAAATAGGTTCAACAAAACACAACAGGCCAAAAACAGATATCTTGAACATACCACTTGTAATAGGAAGCTTAGCCTCAGAATATGGGGTCAATCCTTCCTTTTTATAAAACTCAACTTGAAAGTCAATAGAAGTATTATCATACTTTCCGGCAGCTTTATTTGCCTCAGCTTCTGTGAAGACATCAAAGCGTTTATAATGTCTTGAAATTGCAAATGTGGCATTTTTTCTCCACAAGAACCTGGAAATCAAAATCATTGATACTGAAATCTAGAGTTGGGAAAAGGGGGAAAAAGACACAAAAAACCCCTCATGGGCCAGACACGTGGGCAAATTTATATGATTTATAGAGCCTTCTGCTCAAGACTTTCCCAAGAAACCATTTCATGGGATTTCCATCTATGAATACCTTTAGTCAAAAGGGCTT